AACCTCACTTCTTCACTTGCATCTGAAGAAGTGAGGTTCTTACCCACGAAAGCTTATGCTCCCAGTACTTCTGTTAGTCTCAAAGGTGCCACAGGACCCTCTGTTGCTCACTACTTTTCATGCTCCCTGGTTTTGTCTCGTTATTACCTTGTTTTCCCCCTGACTATTTGTTGTCTTCACCTGTTGTCTCTTGTCTCTTATTTAGATTGTAAGTGTTTTGGGGGCTGGAACTATCTTTTGTTGCCTGTGTGTACAATGACCTCTAGGAACTACAATAATACAAATAACAATATCGTCCTTGGGCCAGGCTTAATTTGTGCCAGGGCTGAGCCCCAGCATCTCTAGGCTTGTTGCATCAGTTGTGAATGTAAAAAATTGCTTGAGCCCCTGTACCTCTTTCATTACAAATTAAACACTGTCCTTGGGGTAAATTTTGTCACAAGGATACAGCCCATAATGAAGAGTGTTGTTGGAACATACCACAGTTCAGTGAATCACAATTCTCCCTGGTTCTGGGGAGCAGTAGTTTACTGATGGCCTATGCGAGCTGTCAGTGACTACACACTCCCACCTCAGCTGCTCTGGTCAACAACTTGTGGAGGTAGAGCCAAGCTTCCACCAATTCCCCATGGTCTCTCCCTCTATTTGCTTTGGGCAGGTGAAGAGGATGCCTACCTATGTGTATTAGAGGTAGGCAGATAATGGATTTTCCATCCCACCAAAAAAAAAATCAAATTTGGGGGAAAACAATTGTCCCAGATTAAAAGCTGAAGTTAAAAAAAAAGTGCAAAAAAGTTAAAAGAAATAATTTTGTGTAAATTAAAACATTTCATTTCAATAAATGTGAAATGTTTCAAGTTGACCCTTTTTACTTTTTAATTATATATATATATGTATACACACTAATATAAAATATAGTAAACTTTACCATGAAAAGTCATTTAAACAAATAAAAAACCTTTAATTCTGAAAATGTCAAAACAGGTTATTTTGACATTCAAAAAGTACATTTTTTCTAAATGCAATTTCATCAGAATCAGCGCAATTTTGTTTTTGTCAAAATGGAATTTTCCCACAGAAAACTGTTTTGATGAAAATTTTCCAAATTGCTCTTCTGTCTACTCTTGCACGCACACACACACACCCAATACCTTGGGTAGCCAATGCAGAGATGTAAGGGGATTCTTACTCACAAATATTTCCTAGTGTACAAAGAAAGTTCAAGTCACCGTCTAGTCCATTGGACTGGTTGGTTGGTTTTAAACGATTGGTTCTTTTTTCCTCATTTTTAAATATTCCTTTTTCTTGACTTTTTGCTTATTTAAAGCTTCCCCTAAGAATCCATGAGTGCTAGCAGTCGGGTAATGATAACGGGCTGTAAACACATTCAGAACTCACATTAACAGGAACAGGACTGACAAGCATGCAGAACAAATATGCCCTGACTATAAGTGCCATTGTGTTTGCTTTGGCTTCTTTGTTAGACCAAATTCTTTATCATACAACACATGCGTTGCCACTGAGTGGAGCTGAGTGATAATTCATAGCACTACATTATTTTACAGTCTTAGCCTCTTCCTCTTTCAGCAGTTTATCTAGGAGTTTGATTTTTTTCATGTGTGTATTTGTTGTTCAGAATCTGTCTGGATTACTTGTACCATTAATTTTTGTTCTTCTTGTTTGTGATTAGTCTGATGTGATGAAAT